ACAAAACAAAACATTATTACCAAAAAAAGTTAACACATTGGCTCTTTTTTTTTTTTTAGAACTTGGCAGAATGATGTAGCTATTATAGATGTTTTCTTATCTAAAACTAATAAACATCTATAATTGGATATATACAATCAGAACAGAGCCTGTATTATTTTAAAATCTCCCAAACCGAGAAAAGCATCACCACCAGTATGGTGTCTTATCTTTTAACAAAAGAGCCATCCCACCAAGATCTTTTCCTGGAGCTTATTTTGATCAGCACACACTTCATCCCACTATCAGTACATACAATGTTCCACTAACTATGTAGCATTGTCTGTCTTAAAAGCTCTTAAAAAACACATTTGCATCTCAAATGCTGCTGGTAGACTCTGCTGAACTAAACACAGTACTGGAATTTTTATATGGCCATTAAACTTGAAGAAGTATTTTTATTCAAATAGTCGTGAGTTTATTTTAGATTCTGAAATCAACCACCCCATTTCCCTCTGAAATCCCAAACAAAATGCAGCAAAGTTAATGACTACATGGCAGGATAATCACTCAAACTTTTTAATCTCCCTTTACATATTATATTAACATTCATATTGCAAGGCATTCCATTCACAAATATTACAGTTTGATAAAAAAACTTCGCACACATACCCCCAGAAGTCTACACCAGATTCAGTCAGCTGACTAAATCATTAAAATAATAAAATGAAAACATTGTCATAATTCTTTTAAAGCAATAATGTCTGAGGCACTCTGGGAAAGATATTCTCCTACAAGTATTAACATGTCAGTGGTATCAAATTATCTTACAAGAAAGTCACCTGAAACTCTTAACGACAATGCCTTTGATCTGCTATGCCTTCACCGGAAGCAATCCTGCTCGGACTGACCTACTGAAAAGAACACAGATATTGGGCAGCTGAGGTCACTTCTAATGAGGCTCCCAGCAATGTGAAGGTGAAGAATGTTTGCAGCTGTATCCCGCTGCCAGGAGACAGTCCAGTCTTGCAAGGGGTTCCTTTCTCCTCACCACCAGGTTTACTAAACGTTAGGCCTAACTTCTCACCTGACTGACTTTGCTCACTTCTGGAGAGCTTTCAAAACTGGCTCTTCCCATCCACTCCCATAGTGCAGCCCCCACCCTCCACTGAACATCTCCAAGGTATGCTCTAGAAATAAAAAAGAGTGGAAGAAAGGGAACTCTCTGCCTCCCATTTTGACCAGAGAGAGGTTTGAAATAGCAATGTATTACAAAATCCTCATGCTCTGCAACAGCCACTACCACGGGGAGCTTGGCTATTTTTGCCATAAACTAGATTTTTTAAAAACCTAACCTTTTCCCAAAGTGAATTTTGCCATATCCATTCACTGATGGTCTGACCGAGTGTTTCCTTCCACACAACCACAAAGGTAAATAATTAGCATTGCGGGGTTGGGGAGGAGGACAACAACAATTCCCAACCGGGAATTAACCCACTGCACACTATGGTCCATTTAGGACAGCGTATAACCCTGTGAGAGCAGAATCAACACACAACCCGGGCACATAGTGTTCAGTAATTACATATAAGGAATTTAAAATGTATACATATATATTTCCTATATAATAAAAAAAATCTGAAACAACATATGTTGCTAAAGTTTCAAGGTTTCTCATGTTCCACATTCATCTATCTGGAAAGCAGCTGGCTCTCGGTGCCCAGTTGTGGCAGTGATAAAAGCAACTAGAAGCAGGTTTAGGTAAAAGTGCTCAAAGGTCAAATGAGAAGGCAGGGGTGCAGCAGAGACTAGGGGTGGGAGGATGGGGAGAGGGGAACACTGAAAGGAGTTGAAAGTGTTTCCTTTATTCTTCTTGGCTTTTCCAGACCCAAGACAAGGTCTTGAGGACACGTGTCAAATGCTGCAATCCTTCCTTATCTATAGTCAAAACAAAACAAATAATAAAAAATTTCTCTTCCATCCTGTACTCTCAATAAAAAGCCAGGAAGTGTGACTGAGATGCGCCATCTCGGGGAGATTAAAACTGGGACATGAAGTGAGGCCGCTCGCTATCCAGTCGCCGGGTTAGGATTTCACAGCCAGTGTCCGTGACCAGCAGGGTGTGCTCAAACTGAGCGGACCTCTTCCCGTCTCTCGTCACTGCGGTCCACCCGTCTGGCCAGGTTTCATCCTGCCATCCACCTAAAACAACCAGAAACAATTTCTTACTTCCATCATCCAGTTTTCTAAATAAGTCTAGGTAAGTGTATCTGTATCCTGTATCTACACATAGCACAGAAAATCAATTAGAAAATTCTCTATTAAGATGCCTACTTACACGTCAACTAAGTTTTAGCTAAAGCCGTTGATATTTAAATTTACATAGGTGTTATAACTTGACATGTTTTATACTTCCCAAATAACAAGTCAAGGTAGTATTTCCAAAATAAAAGTACTTGGGTTTCACTTTAGAAAACATATTAATACCACTCACCATAAAGCTGTAAAAAAAATGAATGAATTTAGCTCCTTCCTGGTATAACTCTGGCATCTGATTAAACTATATAGCCAGTGTTAATAAAGATCATCTCTCTTAATTCTTACAGCATTCCTGGAGAAGTGGCAAAATATAAACTCTTTTTCCCATTTTACAGAAAATAGTAGGCAACCTCTCAAAGGATCTCCAATGCTCCCCTCCGCCACTTGAGAGCAAGCTAGGTTTAGATACCCAGGTCTAAGGAAGAGAATCTGGTAGAAGTAACAGGATGTCTGTCCCAAGATGAAGTTATACAATAGACTGGGAGGATCAGAGACAGGCATATCCTTTCACACAGGGCCCAGGACACATGCCTACTACTACTGCCTCACTCTGCGGCCCTAATCCCAACAAAGAGTGGGCAGAAAGGAAAGGAAGGCTTCACGAAGCAGACCCGAGTTACCAACTGAGTCTATCATCAATGCCACATGCCCACCACAGGAATAGCAACAGTGAGGACATACAACTGCCAGCACTGGGTATGTCTGTGCTGTGCTTCCTCCACAATAGTTGTATGACACCATCTGACATCATGAGTGCAGACCTGGAAGAGGCAGAACAGCTCAGGACACTGGAGTCCGACAAAATCTGCCATGTAACTAGCTAAATGACTTTATGCAAGTTACTTCATCTCTTGGAGGATCAATGTGCTCTTCTGTATAATGGGGACAGCACCGACCTCATTAATTGTGGAGAATTAAATCATTTAACTGTGTCAAAGTGAGTGGCTCTCCTTCTTTTCTCTTCCTCTCTACCTTCCCACCCTTTCCCCATATCAAGCAAGAATTTCTACACTGGCTTGATGGAGGCTTCTAATTGCAACAATGTAGACCCTAGCTAGGTGGTTCAGTTAATTAGAGTGTCGTCGGGATACACCAAAGTTGTGGGTTCAATCCCTTGTCAGAGCCCATACAAGAAGCAACCAGTAAATGAATAAGTAAATGGAACAACAAACGGATGTCTGTCTCTCTCTCTTCCCTTAAATCAATCAATAAATATTTACAAATTTAGCAGGGACCGGTTTGGCTCAATGGATAGAGCGTCGGCTTGGGGACTGAAGGGTCCCGGGTTCGATTCCGGTCAAGGGCATGTACCTTGGTTGCGGGCACATCCCCAGTAGGGGGTGTGCAAGAGGCAGCTGATCGATGACTCTCTCTCGTCGATGTTTCTAACTCTCTATCTCTCTCCCTTCCTCTCTGTACAAAATCAATAAAATATATTTTTTAAAAAATAAATAAATAAATAAATAAATAAATAAATATTTAAAAATTTAAATTCATTTGAAAGGATCTTTATGAAAAGGGAACAGGATTCAAGTACTTCAGCAGCTACTGACAAGAGAAAGTACTGCTTCCTTGCCAACCCTTACAATGTTTAAACATTTATCTTTTTAATCCTCACCCAAGGACATGCTGAGAGAGGAGAAGTGAGGGAAAGGGAGAGAGGAGAGAGGAGAGAGGAGAGAGGGAAGAAGAGAGAGGAGAGAGGAGAGGAGAGAAGAGAGAGGAGAGAGGGGAGAGGAGAGAGAGGAAGAGAGAACAGTTGCCTTCTGTTCATGTCCCAACTAGGAGTGGAACCAGCAACCTTTTGGTGCACAGGACAATGCTCAACCAACAGAGTCACTACAGCAGGGCAAGCCTTACAATGTTTTCTTCTCTACATACACTAAACCAAGTGGAAATGGGACAGGGAGCAGAAATGAAGCAAAAAGTAAGTAGAGCAGACTACTAATTTGTACATCAGTAACTAAGAGTAAACAAAAATCTAATTAAGGAATGTACAGCATCCTTTTTGCTCACCTTCACAAATCATAGGCTCAATGGTAAATACGTGGCCCGCCTTCATCACTCCAACTGCTTTATTTTCTGAAATTAAAGAAGAAAAAAAACTAAAACCATAGCAAAAAAAACAAGTGTATTGTTGAAAAGCTCACTGGATAGAAGAGACAACTATATTCCCATTAGTTATCCTCAATTACCTTCTCCTCTCATGATTCTCCTTTCTTGCAATAGATTATTAACAAACTAGTGACCCAATCACACAAGAATGGGCCTTCGTTCCCCTGGCTGCAGGCACCGCCTTCGCTCTGGCCGGAGCTGCCTTTCTGCCTTCCCATGCTGCCCAGAGCAGCTGGGGTGGTGCAAACGTCCTGCCCCATCCCCCACCACTCAGCGTCTGCATATGCAAATTAACCCAACATCTTTGTTGGGTTGGTTTGCATACTCACTCATGATTGGCTGGTGAGCATCACAAATGTGTAGTCAATTAGCATGCTACTCTTTTATTAGGTAGACTCATAACCCAACCACCTACTTTGGAGCAGATACTCTCCTCCATGCACTTCACACTGATTATGTTTTCTGTAGGAAAATACACAGATATCCAAAGGCTGAATTTTTAGATGTGGTTATCACTTTTACAAAATGAAAAGTGTTATAGCAGGATTAGAAATGCAATTATGGAACCAAGCAAAATTCCTTACTCATCCAGGTATAACAGAGGTGTGTGTGGATGTAGGATGGGAGGGGGCACAGCTCATAGAAACACTGCATGATTTTTCAGTTGTCTTCTTTTTCTTATCTTCAAAGGGGAAAAAGCTTCTGCACACTAACCTATTTTTTTTTTTTTTTTAATGCTGATGACACTATTCCTTTTTATTTGAAATCAGAAATTCCATTTCTCCTTCCAAATACTGTTTAACTTTTGGTCCAAATTTACTAACATAAGAGTATTTTTCAGGACCATCATGAGGTCAGGCATATGGAGTTACAAACCGAAGCAGAGATCATTTCATTCCCAAAGGCCTCCGCTCCACAAGGACTCTCTCAGCAATTTTCTCTAAAACTTCCCTACAGTGAGCTCAACAGATTCTGATTTACATAAACCAGATTTACAGTGACGTTTCATAAACATATCAAATGTATGAAATGAAGTAGATCTAGCTCACCCTTGCTTCTTTCCTCAGAATTTTATTTATTTATTTCTAACTAGATGGTTTTAAAAAACTTCAAGTGGCATCTCTTGTATACCAATGGCACCGTATTTTGCTGACCCCAACATCACTGACAAATATCTCCTCTCCCACAAATTCTGTCTCCTTCCAACAGTCTCTCTTTGTATCACCCATACCTAAATCTGAGTTTGTCACCTCTGTAAGGGCACATTTTCATTCCCTCCCTGCACAGATATTTTTTATTCACACACATACGCCCCAGAATAGCTACTTCTGTCCTAAGAGAATGCACACCACTTGATTACAGGGCTTATCAGTAAGGAATGGAGTCAGCTACTAGTTTTCTGCTCCTAGCTTTTATTTCAAGCATAATTCACAACTTAAATAAAAAGAACTATGTGGCCTGCTAATAAATGCTTATTGATCTATATCAAATGCTATACTCTAAACAACTTCTTCAGCTCCTCCTAAGTGGCTTCTGGCTCATTTCCCTTCCTCTTCACAATATTCCTTCCAGGATTTTACCACCTCACAACTGGACCACTGCCAGTGCACTGGGCTAATAACACCAGTTCCCAACTCCAATCCATTCTACATACCCCTGCCAAATCGGTCTTCCCAAAATAGCCACTCCACTTGCCACTCCTCTGCCCAAAAATGTTTCTAAAAATTCCTACAAATAAAGTCAATGTCCTCAGGCTGGCACTGCTATTACTAATAGTTCTTAACACATAATAGCCAAGCTTGTATTATTATCCCTGTCCAGTCTCAACTTGAAGCACCTGTTCATGCTTCCCCTCCACCGGGAATGGTCTTCATCTTCCCCGTCAAACCAAGCCTTGGCCACTCTTTGTTTCCCCGCAGGCCCAGCACCACACTGCTGCAGTCTTTACCAGGCAGCACAACGTACAAGAGAAGACTGACCCTAGAAAGTCAGACAGAACCCAGGTACAAATCCTAATCCTGGCATTTCCTTACTGGTGGGTGTGAAGCTGAGTAAATGAATTACTTCTCTAAACATAAATCTGCTTTTTAAAATAGGGCTAAGATATTATGTAAGGAATAGTGATGATCAAATGAGATAATGTATGATTTTTCAACCTTTTTCACTTCATGAATCATATGAACTTATTACTAAAATTCTGGAGACTTTTTGCCAATATAATAAAAAAGTATAACTTTGATTTACATAAAAAATATTAATGGTAATTACCTACCTTTTTTGCTCCAAGTGACTTTTTTTAAAAAATCAGGTACCTATACTTGTATGTAAGAATTTCTGGTACCAAGCATTAACCAATCGGATGCAACTTTATTATACAACGTAACCAATAAAATGCAGTTATATTATATAACCTATATAGTTATGGTTTAAGACAGGGCATTCACACCAGATGGCTATTGGACAATCTAAGGGAAAAGAGGTCAGTGCATTGGACTGAATAGTCAGGTATTACATGATTTATAATTCTTGTGGCACATTAGGGTGCTGCAGCATACTGGCTGAAAATCACTGAGGTCATGTATATAATAATCACCACCATTCAAAAGGTTAACGCTAAGTGTTTTCTATGTAATAATATCTCACTTTACCCTAATATCAGTTCTAGGGTAGGTGCCAGCCATACCCTACAATTACACAGATGAGAAAACTTAAGCAACAAGGAGATTGATGAAAACGTTATAGCAATTGTTAAATTCCTTCTCAGGTCACTTACTGTGAACAGCTTTCATTTATAGCACTAAATAACAAGACTTACTCCTGTATGTCCTATTCTCTAAGAAAAAAGCTTTCTGGGAGAAAATGGTCCTACATTTCCTTTGTTATTCTATCAGACAGCACTCAGCTGGAAGAAAGGTACTTTGTCTATTTCCCTCATTTATACCAACAAATAGTACAAAATCTGACACAGACTAAGAACTCATGTCAAACCAAGCTGAAGCCATTTCATTGAAGGAATCAGAACAGTGATGGCTAGACAGGTAGCTGAGACTGTTAACTAGTCACCAAAATTAGTTTACTTTTCTCCTGTAGGGTTGTCGAACTCAATCAGAGAAGGGGCCAAAATCTAAAATCCAGCCTAAATCGCGGGCCGAATGGTTTACTGAACAGTCATAAACTGTCATTGTGATGGAAACGCAGTGGAGTGCAGTGATGACAGCGCGGGTGCGGGCCACATTGCAAGGCCTGGCGGGACGGATTTGGCCCGCGGGCCTTGTGTTTGACACATGTGTGACCTAGAGTATTTAGCGAGATAACATTCTTAACCTCCCTTACAATTAGTGTAGCCATGTGACTAAATTTCTGCAAAAGTATATGTAATTATCCCAAATCTAGGCTGCCTCATTAAAACCTCCCAAGCATACCCCTCCAATTCTATATAATTAAAGGGTAATATGCAAATCGACCTAATGGGAGAACGACCAATCACTCTGACGAGCACTGACCACCAGGGGGTAGACACTCAAAGCAGGAACTGCCCCCTGGTAGTCAATGCGCTCCCACAGGGGGAACGCCACTTAGCCAGAAGCCCTGAGCCAGGCTCATGGCTGGCAAGTGCAGTGGTGGTGGTGGGAGGCTCTCCCACTTCAGTGGCAGCACTACGAACGTCCATGGGGTGCAGGCCTAAGCCTTCAGTTGGACATCCCCAGAGGGCTCCCTGACTGCGAGAGGGCACAGGCCGGGCTGAAGGACCACCCTCCCCCACTCCAGAGTGGATGATTTTCATGCACCAGGCTTCTATCATTTATAGATTAGGAGGGAAACTACCACAGTGATCAAACACACATTCCTTGGATTGTTATATGAACAAAATGTACACGTAAACATGTATTGTGTTTGAGCTAATATACATTTTAGGGTCTATTTATAACAGCTAATAGAATATTCTAATAAATACAAAAGAGTAGAACCTATTAAATGTTTGAATAAATATTTGTTGAGTAAATGGTTAGCAAATATCAAATCTTTGGACGGTACTTACTGGCATAGTGGGGTACATTGGGGGCTGTATGAAAAAGCTTATGGATTCCATGTCCACAGTAGCTTCGAACAACTGAAAAGCCATTTGCTTGGGCATGCTTCTGAATAATGTTTCCCAGTTCTCTGTATCGAACGCCAGGTTTCACTAAAGGGGAAAGAGAAGACTTATGAAACAGTAATAAAAGCTAATGTTTACTAAGCAATTATTATACTATCAATGTCCTTTCTGAAGGCTTTATAGGCCTACATGCTGAAACTTCCAGATGAGGAACCTGAGGCAGAGAGAAGCTATCCTGGCAGTAAATGGCAAAGGGGTGATTCAAACCAGTAGCACCTTTACTTCCTCCTTTGATGTGGAAATGCAGAGTAAATGGGGGGAGGCACCTTTTGCTTTCTGAATAAACAGAATGAAAAACACACTGGTCTCCTTCCCTAAAGTCAAGTGTGCTATTCTGCTAAAGTGAGAGGAAGAGATAAGAGAGGAAAGAGCATCAGGAGAAAAAGGAATGTCCAAAGTAACTTGACTTGTCCTGAGTTTCAGTCCCATCAACTTCTCAAAGAATTACATCCTTGGGACTTCTTCATCCCCATATGTGGCTCTCAAATTATTCACAGTTGCTTCTGGGGGTAAAGTATAGAAAGGTACTTCTCATTTATATAAATTCCTACTTCATTTAATTTTTATTACTTTTACTTCTATTCCTATAAAAACCAAAACAAAAGAACTGGTTCTCATAGCTGTGAAGACTCCTGGCACTGAGACCCTTGAACGGGGCCCAGCCACCATCTGGGTGTCCTCCAACTCCCTTGTCTTCTCCTCTGCCAGATTTCAACCTGAGGTTCAGGTACAACATACCTTCTCCAGCTCATCAAATTTCTGGGCAAAAAGCTCAGCAATCATTTTAATTAACACTTACTTGCTCTTAACCAGATGTTCCAGTTTGACATTTTTGGGGGTGGGAGGTTAATGATTTTGAGGAACCATGCTGACTTTCATAATGACATTTTTACATTCCATTGAGTCTTCCTATTAACCCCAATCAATGGGAAGAAAAGCAAAATTTTAACCCATGTTGGACAGTAGCAAATAAAAAAAAAAAATCCCCGCTCATCAATAATGAGGGAGAGTGAAAGGGGAGATTCCTCCTTAACTCTCAAAGCAGAGGCAATCCTGGTCCCAAGGGTGCATGCAGTAATGTCTGTAGATATTTTTGGTTGCCACAACAAGAAGTGGTGGTAAAAGTGACATCTGGTGGGTAGCAACTAGAGATGCTACCTAGCAACCTACAATGCACAAGGCAGGCCCCTCAAACAAAGAATTATCAGATACAAAATGACATTAATGTGTAGGCTGAGAAACCCAATTGAAGAAGGCTAATTTCAACTAGTGGTCAAGCTCTCCAGTGGCTTAGCACTACGGTACACAGCCAAATTTAGTGAAAAAATAGGACAGAAACGACACATACAAAGCACTTTCCCGAGATTAAGCAACTTTTGTTCTTTCCCGGCTACGTTATGATCACTTTGGTTTTGGTAGTTTCTTTGCAAGTCTTTGTAAAATAACATTTCAGCAGTCTAGTTATTTCAATCAACTCAGAGAATCAGAAAAGATATTAAATTAACATGAGCATATTATCTGGCAGAAACCCTAACAATTATTTAAAACAAAAGCTTCCAAAAATGAGAAACTAAACACTCAAGTCCTCATCATACAAAACCACTAGGAGTATTACAGTCCTTTTAATAATCAACAGGGGCTCTGGCCGGCTTTGCTCAGTGGATAGAGCCTCAGCCTGCGGACTGAAGGGTCCACGGGTTTGAGTGTGGTAAAGGGCATATGACTGGGTTGTGGGCTCAGTCCTCAATGGGGGTGTGCAGGAGGCAGCTGATCAATGATTCTTTATCTTTATTGATGTTTCTATCTCTCCCTTTCCCTTCCTCTCTGAAATCAATAAAAATATACTTAAAGAAAATAATCAACAGGGAATATGTAAAAAGAAAACATACATATTGATACGTGAAACTACCACGATTTCATTTTTCATTCCTCTGACTTCATTAAATTAGTAAAAATATCATTATCTCCCATGCATGTTAAATGAACTAAAAACAATAAAGACAATGAATTTCTATTATTAGAGATAACTTCCAAAGAATTCTGTCCTACACGATACTTTATTGATGATAGAACAGGGTTATTTTATTTTCTGTGGTGGTGGAGTGGGTGTGGAGAGACAGAGATAGAGCACTGAACAATAAAGCTGAAATGCTATGGATTTCAACTGAAAATATATTTGCCCTCAAACTGTCCTGTTTGGTAATAGACTGTTAATATTTGTAGCAAAGCCTTTCCTTCTCTCTCCTCACAAGCTATAGCTTAAACAAACCAACAAAACAAACGCTGGATGAATTGTTTGCATGGACAAAGAGAGCCTGAGAAAAATCCTACAGAAATACATCTCTACCCAAAGATATTCACCATATTCACTAGAAAACACCAAAGTCTAATAGCAAATAGTTGTAGAAATTTTTATATTATGGAATATATAACCATTAAAAGAATGCAGGAGACTATGCATACAGGTACATGAGCCAATATGGAAAGATTCCTAAAGTACTGTAAGTTAAAAAATACCAAATTATAGAATACTACAATTATGATTCCATGTATCCTAACTAACCACATACACATAGGGGTGGGGGTGTGTGTGTGTGTGTGTGTGTGTGTGTGTGTGTGTGTGTGTGAATGCACAGAGGAGGGGGGAAAAACCTATTAAAAGTGAATACTTCTGGAGAAAAGAGAGATATAAAAAGAAAAGAGGAGAGGCAAGTGTAAAGGAGGATCATTCATTTTTCTCTCAGAGTCTAGCATCCTGTTTTAGTTTTTTATGAGAACATAATACTTATTAAAGAATAAAACATAGGGGAAAAGTATAGTCAAAATTAACTATCCATACATTGCTCCTCATTTGTCAGCCATAGAAAGATAAAATCACATAAGAGTCAACGGTTGAGAGGCAATCATTCAGTCCATTCTCATCAAGGAATTCCAAATCATCCTTAAACCATCACTGTGAAAACCCACGCCTCACTCTTGTAGGAGAGGCAAGGCTGGCAGGCAGGGACAGGAATGCCTCGTGCAGTGACGAGTCACTTGAAACCCATCAACACAGGGTGCCCGGCACTGAGGCTGACCTGCGTCGATGGCTTGCATCAAGCACTCATATGTGGTCTGAACCAGCTTCAGTGCTCCTTCATCCACATCGCCAACAAAGAACGTCTCGTTCAGATCCCCATGATAGCCATTGCGATAAAGAGTGATGTCCACTGCAAAAGAATGTGCAAACATAAAGACCACATTTGGTTTTGGTTTTGTTAATCCTCACCCAAGGATATTTTTCCACTGATTTTTTTTTTTTTTTTTTTTTAGAGAATGGAAGGGAAAGAGGGGGAGAGGGGAAAAGAGGGAGAGAGAGAGGAAAAAAAGGAAAGGAGGGAGAAAAGGGAGGAAGGGAAAGGAGGGAGGGAAACAGCAACATTGATTGCTTGCATCCCACACATGCCTTGACTGGGGTCAGGGAACGAACCTGCAACCAAGGTACATGCCCTTGACAGAATTGAACCCTCAACCCTTGAGTATGCAGGCCAACATTCTACCACTGAGCAACACTGGCCAGGGATTAAGACCACATCTGTTTTTATTTCAAAATCTAAGTCATTTCTCCAACATGACAGCATCAAAGCAGGGTAATGAGAAAAATAACTTCTGCAGTCTCCTATTAGACCCCAATGGATGTGCAGTTACCGCCCGACACTCCTTATCTACAATACAAATGAACTCACTGTGGAGAACAGACATGGTCACACAGCACAAGACAGACAGCAGGCTTTTATTACTCTTATAGTATATTGATCATTTATGGCAGAAGAAAAATGCATCCAGGACACATTCGTGTAAGATCAATAACCTGAGTTAGTAACATTAAATAACTTTGTTACATTTGACATTAAACAGAAAATACTGCTTTAATTTATTCAACCAGTTTTTCCTCCTCTTGGTGAATCAATAAATAGAAAAACATACTACTCTTCACTTATTTTTTAAAAACTCGTTTTCCTTTCACTTATTTGTGAATATTCATCCTTCTCTTTGTCCCCATGTTTAAGAATACAGATTATCACTCTAGCCCGTTTGGCTCAGTAGATAGAACGTAGGCCTGCAGACCGAAGAGTCCAGGGTTTAATTCTGGTCAAGGGCATGTATCTCAGTTGCAGACTCCTCCCTGGCCCAGGCCCTGGATAGGGCTCATGCAGGAGGCAACCAATTGATGTGTTTCTCTCACACCGGTGTTTCTCTCTGTTTTTCCCTTTCTATTCCACTCTCTCTAAAAATCAATGGAAAAATTTCTGTGGGTGAGGATTAAAAAAAAAAAAAAAAAAAAAAAAAGAATACAGATTATTACTACACCATTATAATACAGTAAACATATACTAGAAAGCATATTCAATGAGTATTTTTAAACCTCAAATTTTCAATCAGCCCAAAATATCATCGAACAGTTGTGTTGGCTCTAGCATGATATATACATTCCTAAAAAATCTCACACATTATGCATGTAATAAATAACAGGGTTTATATAAAAAACAGGGATGGGCAGGCACCTCAGAACCTCTTGAACTTTATTAACAGATACCCTAATTAAAGAAGTAACAATCCAAGTAAAAACAGCATGTCCACTAGCATTTACTGCCAGCATCAGTTGGTGCAGTCTCTGCAACCTTCAACATGTGGGCTCGTGTTATCTTGCTTAATATGTAGGTCCTTGAAGAGGCTAGATTACTAAAGAGACCAAGTTCATCAATATTAAAAATACTATCTAGAGTAGTCTTCTTCAACATTTTTTTTATCCCAAAGGAAAATGTCTGGCAGCTTCTTCCTCTGCACTTGCAACTTCCCAAGAGAACTTAACTTCTTATAAGGAAGGCACTTCTGCA